AAAATGCAACAAGAGAAAAATGTGGCTGTCTGGTTTTTGGTAATTAATATTTATAATCATGGGAAGACAAAGATATGCTATAGCTATAAGTCAAAGAATTCCCAGAAGCTGACAGACAAGAAATAATCTTCTCTAGAGCTTCAGAAAGAACGTGGCCCAGTCAACACCCTGAAACCAGGACTAGTCACTTACTCATTCAATGTGTTCCAGTCAGAACCAGCTCACTGCTGACCCTCTTCTGGGCTTCCGAGGCTGTAAACAGCGTGGAGGAGATTTCCCATTTTTCACCCTCAAAGTCACTGGTGGATTCAAATGACCACAGAGGCTCAGCCTCTGAGTTAGCAGTGCAACTTCCCATAGACCGTGCCACCAGAGTTCTCTTTCAGAACACCAGCTTCCATGAGTGATACATTTCCATCCTTACAACCTACCCAATTTACGCTCTGTTGTTAAGGCAGCCCTAGGAAACTAATTCCAAATAGACAACAAACAAAATTCAATACCATTGAGTCAGTCCCAACTCATAGCAATCCCACAGGGTTTCAAACGCTGCAATCTTTGGGGAAGTGGACAGTTCATCTGTCTCCCATGGAACCACTGTTGTTATGTGTCATCAGGCCAGAGCTGATCCATAGCTGACCCACGTAGGTTCTCAGAGAAAACCGGAGCAGGTTTTCTGAGGCAGTCAGTTGAAGGAGAGATTGTCTATCTTTCTTCCTCAGAGCAGCTAATGGATTTGAACTATGCATCTTTGGGTTGGCAGCACAACTTCTTACCATTGAAGCCACCAAACTTCTTTATGGAGCCACAGGTAGGTTCTAATTGACAATCTTTTTATTAGCTGCCAAATGTTTAACATCTCTGCCACCAGGGCTCCTTGGAAACCAATACCACTGGTGTTGTTGTGTGTACTGTAGAGTAGGATCCAACCCATAGATGACCTTCCAATAGGTTTTCAGAGCCAGTTAAATTCACATGGCAGGAAACTGCCCATCTTTCTCCCACGTGGCTCCTGGTGGGTTTCAGTCATATAAGTTTAGGTTGGCAGTGCAAATACAGAGATATACAAAAAAAGAAAAAGTGGCGAAAATGAGCTTGTACCTAAGATGTTAGTAGGAGAAACAGCTTTCAATACAAGAGATCTGGCTAACAGAGCAAAGAACTGAGGCCCGGATGTCCTTTTACCCTCACGTCAGGTTTCTTGTTGGTCACTGTACAGTCAATCACTTGATCTTTGCTGGAACCCAAAATAAACATAAGCAGTAAAAGGACAAAGGAGAAACAGAGGGAGTTTCTGTTGACAGAAAACTCTTCTTTTATTGCATCAATCTTGCCAGAACTTTCTGGAGCCTCCCTGACAGGACTCCACAGTAGGGCCGGCAGATGCCTTGTCTTCCCGCCCAGCTGGTGACTTCCTTTGTCTTGTGTCTTTAGGAGCACACAGACCAACAAGGAGACTCCTCATGGGAAGAAGGCTGCAGCAGCTGGGGAACTACAGAAGTCAAGAGCACTCACTGCTCAGACCTTCCAGTTGTGCTATGAGGTAAAGAATCAGAAAAGGAGGGACTGTGGACAGCCTCACTCAGACAGTGTGTCCGTAAGGGACTGTGGCTCATCTGTCGTGGCCTGGCTCGCTCTCACAATGTTTGAAACGTCGTCTCTGGCACCCTGCCTAGCTCTTGCTTATTAATTCCATCTTCAATCACTCCTGGAGGCAGAAAGTGCACTAAGTGTGCATGTCCCGATTTAAGTTAGGTTACAGCGGTGGAAATGCTGCTTCATAGCCTTTCAAAGGCTGCAGTCTTTAGGGGAGCAGATTGCCACTTCTTTGACCCATGATAATACTTTATAGAACTTTTCCCAAAAGTGCTAAGTGGTGGGCTAATGAACAATAAAACCCCATATCAACATACTCACAGTGATATGCAAACAAAGAACATGAGTTTTAAGCGGGGAAACGACAGCCTTTTTAACAAATGGTGCTGGCAAAATTGGAAAAATATCTGTAGAAGACTCAAGCAAGATCCACACCTCACTCCATATAAAAAAACCAACTCAAGGTGGATCATGGATCTAGGACTAAAACCAAGGACTATAAACTTCATTAAAGTAAAGCTTGGAAGAACTCTATTAGTCCTAAACCACAACATAAACAGTCTTCCAAGTATCCCGAAAAATCTACAACCAGGAGAAGATAAAATAGATAAATGGGACCTTCTAAGAATCAAATCCCTATGCACATCCAAAAACTTCTCCAATAGGGTAAAAAGGGAAGCCACAGACTGGGAAAAAGTATTTGGTAATGACATGTCAGATAAGGGACTTATATCTAGAATTCATAAAATACTTGAGCACCACAACAAGATAAAGGTAAATAATCCAATTCAAAAATGGGCACAGGATATGAATAGACACTTCACCAAAGAAGACATTCAGATGGCCAACAAGCACATGAAGAAATGTTCAAAATCCCTAGCTCTAAGAGAGATGCAAATCAAAACAACTATGAGATATCATCTCACCCCAGTCAGAATAGCAAAATTTAACAGACCAGCAAGCAACAAATGCTGGTGAGGTTGTGGAGAAACTGGAACCCTTATTCACAGTTTGTGGGAGTGTAAAATGGTGCAACCACTGTGGAAGGCGGTATGGCGCTTTCTCAAAAAGTTGCAAATAGAGGTACCATTTGACCCAGCAATTCCACTACTGGGAATATATCCCAAAGAGACCATAACTGACATCCAAGCACATATATGCACACCCATGTTTATTGCAGCTCTGTTCACAATAGCAAGGAGTTGGAAACAACCCAGGTGCCCAGCAACAAACGAATGGATAGAGAAGCTGTGGTATATTCACACAATGGAATACTATGCTGCATTGAAAAACAAGAAACTCATGCAATATTATTCAAAATGGGTGAGCCTGGAGGACATTATGCTGAGTGAAATATCTCAGTTGCAAAAGGACAAATATTGCATGGTGCCACTGTTGTAAAATGGGACTGATATCAGGGTTGGGGTAAGACTGAGAAAAACTGGATAAATTGTGTATACTGCACTGAAACACATGAGGGAGTGAATAATTTAAAAGTGATGTATGATAGGGTATTATGGTTATCTCAAGAATCCACAATTAAGGTTGCATAGTGGGGTGTGGGGGGGGATTGTGTCCCAGGGAGGGAGTGTTTCTTTTACTTTTGAAAGAGAGGGGCGAACTGGCGGTGGGGGGGGGCGCTGGGCAGGGAGAGAAGTGCAGCAATGAATGAATGGAAATCCAAGATCTCTGTAAATGCTCATTAAAATTATGAAAAAAAACCCCACAAAAAACCAAAACTACATCATGTCCAAATAGGTATTTTCCAAAGATTGTATTACACGTGATTATTATGTTTCAAATATCTATTTATGTTTGGAGATTGAAAATCCAGTGTTACACAGGTCACAAACCCAATGTATTGATGTCAAAAACCAGGGAAGTGAAAAAACCTAAAGGAACTTCAATGGAGATTTGACACGCAGAGTGCAAATGTGCCAAAGAAAAGGCTTGAGACTAACATTTATATCAAAAAAGAAAAATATTTAATAAGACATAGTGAAAGATATAAAAGACAAAGTTATTCTAACATAAACAGGCAATGTGTAAGATATTGTATACGTAATGTCAAAGTTGTAGGACATTGGAGTGCATAAATAAAAGCAAAATAAAAGCAAAAGCAACATTCACTTAAAATTCCTTTCCTACTTTCTACCAGAAACATCTTTAGCTACATTTATAAAATCCAATTCTAAAAGCACACCAAAGTAGAGCAAAGTGAAGAACAAAGATGCTAAGACTATCTGTTTAGACTAAAAAATGTTACAGAAAAGTAGAGAAATCCAATTATAAATCAAGTTAATATGACATTTTAATGAATTAGAAAAATCCTTTTATTAAATAAAATTGTTATTTAAGGCATGTGGGCAGAAGTAGAGTAATACTTTTATTTTTAAATCCAGAGGATTTTTAGGGTAATATTCTTTCTCTGAGACAGCATGATTCAACAAATATCTTAGCTGAAGAAAGTGTCCAGTTTGAGAGCATAAAAAGAATAACAAAAGTAATGTCATTAAACTTACAGACTTATTTTCATCTTAACACTATAAATCAAATCATTGGAAGAAGAAACATAATATTTGACAATAGATGTAGAATTCATGAAGACCTACAAATAAATTATAAAGAAAGAGAAAAAAAGACACCCCTATTTGAAAAAGGGTCATCAACATGAACAAGCAATTAACAGAAGAGAAAACCAAAATGACCAATAAACATAAGTTGATCAACCTCCTTAGCAATCACTTCACATCCATCAAATTGCCAAAATTATAAAAAGATCACCATCAAGTGCTGCTGATGTAAACCTATGAGAATTGCTATTGTCTTCTGAGGGGTAGATAAATCTGTATAACCAATGTGAGAGCACTTTGGCACTACCTGGTAAAGCTGAATGTGAGTTCATCCTATGACCCAGCAATGTCACGCCTAGGATTTGTACTAGAAGAGTCCTGGACCAGCAAGGCATCTTGTGCAATAATGTTTATTGCAGCACTAGATTTCTCTAATGGTTATGAGTAGGAAAAGGAACCATGATGGTTAAAGCACTTGGCTGCTAACTGGAAGTTTGCATTCACTCAGTAGTTCGACAAGAGGAAGACTCGGTTGTTCACTTCCATAAATATTACATCCTTGAAAAACCTATGGGAAAGTTCTGTTCTGTGGCAGGGCTATTAGAAGTGAAAAACTGACTCAGTGTCACCAAACAAGAGCAGCAATATAGGTAGAAAAGAAGAGATACAAGTTCAATGAAAGGTACACAGTAATCTCCAATTTATGTATAATGTTTTATTTCTTAAGCAGAGTGTTGAATGTATAGTTTTTGTTTTGTCTTATATTATTGTCTATGCTTCTTTTGTTTGTCTCAAACTCATAACACAAGTTAAAAATATAGAGTGACTTACCAAACTGTCCACATCGATGCTGGAGTTTACAGCCCACTGCAAAGTGCTCATGATGTTCATAGCTAATGTGAGAATAATACCAACTGTTGCTTGTCCATCACCTATAGGCGGACAAAAGATATTTTAAGAATCGTAATTGTTAAAAAAAGTAAACAAGGCTTATACTATTTCTCTATAAAGTGAGTCATTTTGTTTATGCCTCTTCTGACACATCCCACATTAAAGCCACATTTCAATGTTGTGCTGATTTTAATCTTCTCCCTTTCATCTCAGTTAGACAAGACAGTTACCAGTAGTATTTGTGCTCTGTTCATAGTAAGTGTTAAATCAATGATCTAAATCAAAGAATGATTCCATATTAAGAAAAAAAAAGGGGTGGGGAAGTTGTTAGTGTTAATGCTTAAGATCTCAGTGCCACCAAAGCTTGCAAAGAAGCATTCAGAGGGAGTGGAATCCTATGTCTAGAAGAGCTCCTCTGCAGAAAATCCAAGAGCAGGGGGACAATGAGTCTGAGCAGTATCCATAGATGTTAGATGCACTTCCTGTCTTAGCAAGTAAAATATTTTCTACCAATGCTGTTGAGAAGAAAGCAGACTAACAGCCCTATGGTTATTATACTCTGATTTTGTCACTTAGGAAAAGGAAGATCGTCTTCCCTGTTTAAAAAAAATCTAGAAAGAACAATGGTTAATTAGAATCAGTCATTTTCTGAGCTATTCATTTATTGATAATAAATATTCAGTACTGCAGACATAAAACTTTTCAAAGGGATAATTTTCATTTTATTATAAACAGGTTGCCAAGACTCAACTGAAGAGCATTCTTGCATTTAAACTTCTAGATAAAACTGTTATGCCATTCTAGCAGTGGAAGAAACACCAATAAGTGAATTTTTTATTTCTATAATTCCTCTAACAAAAGACAAGCCATAAATAATAGGTATCTGTCTTTAGTAAAAAGTCACCTATTAAAATTGTTGTTGTTATTGTTGTTGTTAGGTACTGTCACATTGAGTATGACCCATGGCAACCCTATGAGCCCTCCTGTCCTATCCTGTGCCATCCTTAAACTTCTTGACACCTTAGAGCCTGTTGTGGCAGTCACTATGTCAGTCCACCTGGTCGAGGGTCTTTCTCTTCCTCGCTGATTCTCCATCTTTCTGAGTATCATGTCCCTCTTCGAGGAATAGCTCCTCCTTGCAACTTGCCCTAAGTATGTGAGGTGAAGCCTCATCATCTTTATTTCCAAAGAGAACTCTGGCTACACCCTCTCCAAGACATATTTGTTTGTTCTTTTGGCAGTCCATTGGATGTTTAATGCTCCTCTCCAATGCCACGGCTCAAAGGCATCAATTCTTCTTGTGTCATCCTTATTCATTGTCCAACTCTCAGATGCATAGCAAGTGACTGAAAAGACCATGGCCTGAATTAAATACACCTTGGTACTCAAACTGACATCATTACTCCTCAATAATTTGAAGAGGTCCCTGACTACAGACTTTCCCAGTGCAATGTGTCAACTGGTTTCCTGACTGCTGGTACCAAGGGTGTCAATTGTGGATCCAAGTAAGAGGAAGTTGTTGGCAGTTTCAATCTTTTCTCCATCTACCATGATGTTGCCTATTGGCCCAATGATAAGAAACTTTGTTTTCTTGACATTGAGATGCAATATATACTGAAGGCCATGTTCTTTGCTCTTCTGCAATAAGTGCTTCAAGACCTCCTCACTTTCAGCAAGTAAGGTTGTGTCATCTGCATAATGTAGATTATTGATAAGTCTGTCCCCTCTCAGATTCAGATGCCTAATTCCTCTTCATAGAATCTATCTAACTTCTCAAATACAGACTGCATAGGTATGGAGAGAGAATACAACCCTATTGCATTACTCATTTGGGAGCTTAAAATTTGAAGTTTAAGCAATAATAATAATGTACAATATAACACTTATTATATACTTACATTGGACCAATATAATATTGTATATTATACAATGCACTATACTATACTAAGAGCTTTGCAGAAATCGTTACATTTAACACTCACTATACCCTATGGGGGGGGGGGGACCTAAAAACCAAACAAATCGACATCAAGTCAGAACCAGTTTAACTGACCCTCCAGTGGGTTTTAAGAGCTGTAAACTGCATGGGAGGAGATTTTCCATCTTTCTCGCTCAGATTCAAAACTGCCTGTCTTTAAGTTAGAAGAACCAGCCCATGAAGTAAGAACTATCAACAGAAGAGTAAAATGAAGGGCTCTGAGAGGTTAATTACATGTGCAAGTCAATATAATTGAGAGCTCTTTAGTAAAGAGCTCTATTCTTTCAAAGACAAGACTCCTTAACAATGTGATAGTGAAAAGATAGTTTCCCCTTTTAATCAGAATTCATTTAGAGTTTATTTTGTTTTTTTTTAATCTGACACTATCTATATTTCAAGTTTATTTTTCTTTTCCCTAACTACAAAGACATGGAAAAAAGAGAGAATTGTAAAGAAGGAATCAACTCAAGTCTTTTGAAGCACCAGCAGGTATTCAGAGGCATAAACTGCATGGGAGCAGATTGCCCATCTTTCTCTAGTGGAGCAACTGGTGGATTTGAACAGTGTGCTTTTGGATTGGCAGTGCAGCTCCGTATCCACTACGTCACCAGGGATAACACAATACAAAACTCTAACTCAGTGAAATCACTTGCTCGGCAATATATTAATAAACATATGAAATCATGTGTTCAGCAATACACCAATTTTTAAATTTATTCATTAACGAAAATAATCTGTTGAAAAAGATTTACATTTTTAATCTTCAACAGAATTACAGGGAGGTCTGATGGCCCAGTGAGTACAGAGTTGCACTAGTAACCCTAAGGCATGTGGTTTGAATTCATCAGCTAGCAGGTCCACAGGAAAAAGATGGGCAATCTCCTTCCATGTGATTTGTAGCCTCTTAAAACCTGCTGCAGGGGTTTAGCTGTGAGTTAGTTCCAACTTGATAGGGCAAAACAACAATTAAGTGTTAGGCCTCAAATACCGGTCAAGTTTAAATGAAATAGGTAAATAATTTGTTCACAGTACCTGTTGTTAAAATGGAAATGAAGGTAACAGCAATGAAGAAGACGACAAAAATAATTTCAATTCTCATTTGGAACCAGCGAAGTGTGGACAGGAACAGGAACCAGTTAGCAGTGTGCAAATTCAAAGCTTTGTGGAACAGAGTTTCAAAGTAAGGCTGACGGCCAAAGGCACGGAGTGTCCAGAGTCCTTTCAAGCTTGTCACAAGATGAGTGAAAATTGGACTCCTGGCTGTGAATTATCCCCACAGAAAACAAGACAAATTGTGTAAATATAGAATGTAAATCAGGCATTGTACCTGAAAAGTCTAAAAGAGTAAGTACAAAGCAAATGTCATTGGCTAGCTTTCCATTCTAGTGCTATCTCTTAATAGATGTTACTTGTTATAATTTTAAATGAATCACTTTCTGACTTGGTCACCATGAATGAGAACTTACTAGAGAACATTTTCTAATTTATCGTTGGAAAGCAGTTACTGAAAAAAAAAAAAAGCTGTTACTTAAAAATGTGCTTCCCAAGAGCTAAAACAGCATCGGGGACACACAAAACCCACAAATTTTAACACACAAAAGAAGGGTATCTGAAGACAAAAAGCCAGAGGAAAGAATTCTGTCCAGAATTTTCTGGGAACCCAGAGAAGCCTGTACGTAGTATTAAAACTATTATAAAATATTAATATAAAATTACTGTTGATATGAACTGTCAATTCAGCCCTACTGAATTGACACAACCAACTCTCCAGTGGGTTTTCAGAGGTGGTAAATTGCATGGGCAGAAAGAGCCAGTCATTCTCCCATGAAAAAACAAACCACCTGTTTTAGGGTTGACGGTGTAACACTTTACCCACCAGGTCACCAGAGCCCCTACTATATAATAGTAGTGCTATTTAAAAATTTAATATTTATAATTTTGAAAAAAATTCAGAATTAATGAATATCTTATGCCCAGATGACAAAAGCAGTTTGCACTTGATTTCTAACCCAAACATTGGTGGTTCAGATCTCCCCCCAGAGATGTCACGGAAGAAACATTTGACAATCAACTTCCTTAAAGATCATTTCCAAGAAAACTCTATAAAGCTGCCACATGGGGTCCCATGAGTCAGAACAGATTCAGCAGCAGTGAGGTTTGGGGTTTTTGTTTATTTGCTTTCCTGTTTCTTCTATACAGTGATCCGAGAACATTCTAATAGTTTAGTGTGTAGTTGTGCTTTGTGTGTTTTTTTTTTAATACAGAATGTGGTAAAGGAAATAGCAATATACAATAAAGATCTGTTTAGACATTATAATAAGTTAACTGCATCAATTAATGGTAGTTTTGCCTATGAATTTTTGCCTTAAAAATATCAATGACATTGGTAAACTTTCACGTAAATAAAAGATTACATTTTAAAAAAATATTTGTTTTAAAACCAAAAAGAAGGCACATAGTCTTAATTAGCAAAACCAATTCATTTGTATTTTGTAATTCACAACTTACTTAAACATACGTTTTTAAAAGTCATTATGACATACTGTAAGAATTTAAAACAGGAAGGGAAAAATAGTCTTGAAAAAGTCAATACGGGATGAAACGGAATTACAAATATTTCATGTGGAGCTTTTCCAAAGCAAGTCGTGTCTAGGTAGCCATCATACCTTCAGATTCCATTTGCTTGAGTTGCTGGGAGGTGTGGAGGAAGTATGCTCTCAATAAAATAAATGCGACCATCACAGGCACCGTTGCTAGGAAGATGTAAGGTTGTAAAACCGAGACGACTGCTACAGCACCAATTACAATTAATATCAACTGTAGGATCAAAGAAGCGTGGTGGTGAGCAAACATTGTCATGTTGCAAAACACAGAGGTCTGCCTGTGATTCATCTGGTAAATAAGCTTCCCCCTCCCCACAAACCACTTGGTTCTCAGGAAAGGCTATGGGTTTTATTAGGCAGCCAACCATCTCAAAGTACATTTGTCTCAGATTTTATAGACATTTTAAAAAAATCTCAGAGGTTCTGGACAATAACTTTAATGACATGTTTAAAAACGTGCTGTGCTCTGATCTCGAGGGCGTCTCATTTACCAGATACTTTAAAGTACGAAAAGACTGATATTTTTTTAAAAATTAATGCAAATGTTTTCCACCAGACTTCTTAAAAAATAGGTTTTCCTTTTGAAAGAGTTTTAATATTAAGGGGATAATTCCAAGACTTTCTTCAATTTGTAAGAATTTAGAGATGAGTCTTGAAGCTTTTTGAGTCAGAAAGATCTAACTTTAAAAAGACTTGATTATTTCCACAACTTACCTAACCTTTTTAAGCCAGTTTTCTCATGTTTTAATTGAATGTGAATATATATATCTATACACACACACAGACACACACATACATGGAGACCGTAAATTTTACTCTCTTTCCCAACTTCTCCTCTCCCCTTGTTTGAGAACTTACTTTCCCCTAGAGCCTCGGAATTGGAGCTCTTGTTGTATATTCCATAGAAAGCTATGCAATGAACCTCCAAGCGGACAATATCCTTCTGTGTAATTTACACCCTCAGATCCAATGAGAGTCAACTATAAATTGGTTCCAACTCACCAGCAATGAGTTGAGATTGCAAAAGAGATTTGGGGGGATGACTGATATAAATCAGCTCTAGGAAATCCTTCTTTCTCTCATTTTCCACCAATCTGTATTTCAGTCAAACTCACTTATGATTAATATCTCTTCACATTGTGTACTAAAGATAGATTCCTATTGATCATCTCCGAAAGAAGTTACCAAAATGTTGTCAGAGAGAAGTTACCAAAATGTTGTTTTTTGAATATCAAGTTGAAGACTGAAATTCTATTTCTATGTAACATTAAATTCAGACATTTTGAGATGGAGGTAATGGCCTAATATTCACATCTCAAGAATCAATTTTAATAAACTCCAAAAATTTGTTCTGTGAAGTCAGAATGGATTCACAACGGATCCTCCAGTGGGCTTTTAGAGGCTATTAATCATGCTAGAAACACTGATCTATTCAAACTTCTAGAAAGGCGTCACCTTTGGATTAGGAAACCAATTCATTAAGGACTAAGTCACAAGAATTCCTTATTTGAATAAAGTGTAAGTAAAGTTAGTAAAAGAAATCCCACTACCATGGAGTGGATTCTAACAGTGATCTTGCAGCACAGAGTATAACTGCCTACAGCAAGCATTTGACTTTCTCCTGGAGAAGGACTGATAATGTTTGAACCACCAGCATTTTGATTAGTGGCCGCAGCATTACCGGGATACTTCAAAGCTAGTAACAAGGATTAAAAAAAGAAGGCGTCTCCAGTTTGGAAGCTCATGTGTGAAGCAGTTGGATTCTGGAGGGTAAGGAATCTTGTTTTAGTTGAATGTTGGGTGTAAACTGCTTGATGGTTTTCTATTTTATTTCTTTTTATTTTTATTATTTACTTTATTTTTTTATTTAGTTCACAATCATTTGTGAGCTGTTTGGATTTAGTGGATTTAGCTATTAACCAGCTGTGGGTTGGAAGCTTCTTGTTCGAGTCAATCAGGATCTGGTGGGTCGGCCTTTGTATTTAAAAGTCAGTTGTTAATTATTCTAATTGGTGGTAATTGTATTTGAGAAGAACATTCTTCTAAGTGGTACAACACCGGTCTGTCAGTTTGCTGTACCGAGACTAACTTGGAGTTTCTGTGATGTTGAATGTTGTGCCACTGGTTTGTCAAACGCTATAATGCTTACCCATGGTGGATAGTGTTTGGTGGAGCTCCCAGATGAAGACAGGCTTGGAAGCAAGATTGTTTTTCACTTCCTAAATAACAAGCCTTTGGAAACTCTATGAACATTAGAGAAACAGTGATAGTTTATTGAACAGGGTGCAGATCTTTTATTCAGAGGGTCATTATGAGTTATGCTCAACTCAATGATACTTAACAACAACAAAAAGCACTTAGACAATTCTCTACCAGATGATTCCCTGAAATACATAACATTTTGATAGGGGAGAGTGGTAAGAGGCATATAAACTCTTTGAATGGGTTGCTGTTGTTGTTGATTGCTGTTGAGTTGAGCATGAGTCATAGCAACCCTATGAACAAAAGGCCTAAAGCCTTTCTATAGCTATCATCATTTATCAAATTTCGTAGAGTTTTCAGAGGCATGTTGTTTAGGAAGTGGATGCCACTGTAATTAAAACCACAGAGAATCATATCTCAGTGATTGAGTGACATTTTCTATAGGAAAATGCTTTAGGTCTCCAACTATAAAATTCTGAAATACTAGTCTTCAATCATTAAAGAAATTCTGAGATTAAAAAAAAGAAATACTGAGAAATGTGTCTTGTGCTAGACATTAGATTATTATTGCACATATGTTGTTGTTGATTGCCTTTAAGTCGAGCATGACTCATAGTGATACTTTGAACAAAAGGCCTGAAGCCTCTCTACAACTATTGACATTTATCAAAGTTCATAGAGTTTCCAGAGGCAAGATTGTTTAGGAAGTGGATCTCGATTACATTCTTGCTGTAGAGCAATGACACATCTTACCCTTCATTTAACCAAATCCAATCCATTGCCAACTTCTAACAATCATATAGGATAGAGAAGTGTCTGTAGGGTTTCCAAAACTACAACCTTTATGGAGCAGACTAATCTTGCTCCTACTAGCAGAGCGGCTAGTAGATTCAAAATGTCACAGATTCAGTTAGTTCAGTGCTTAGGCACTGCACCACTAGGCTAAAGCCCTAGTTATTATTTGAAAAAGTGCTTCTTCAAAGGTGGACTACAGACGCTTCACCAAAGAAGACATTCAGATAGTGAACAAACACATGAAGAAGTATTCAAAATCCCTAGCTCTAAGAGAGATACAAATCAAAACAATTATGAGATATCATTTCACCCCAGTAAGAATAGCAAAATTCAACAGAGCAGCAAACAGCAAATGCTGGTGAAGTTGTGGAGAAATTAGAACCTTTATTCACTGTTCGTGGGAGTGTAAAATGGTGCAACCACTATGTAAGGCAATAGGGCACTTTCTCAAAAAGTTGCAAATAGAGATACCATTTGACCCAGCAACTCCACTGCTGGGAATATACTCTAAAGACACCATAACTGACACCCAAGCAGATATATTTCCACCATATTTATTGAGGCTTTGTTCACAATAGCAAAGAGTTGGAAACAATCCAAGTGCCCATTAACAAATGAATGGATAGAGTAGCTGTGATATATTCACACAATGGAATACTATGCTGCATTGAAAAACAGGGAACTAATGAAATATTATACAAAATGGGTGACCATGGAGGACATTATGCTGAGTGAAATATCTCAGTCACAAAAGGACAAATACTGCATAGTGCCACTGTTGCAAAACAGGAATGGCATCAGGGTTGGGGGCAGCCAAAGAAAAGATGGGATAAATTATGTATACTGCATTAAAACAGATGAAGGAGCAAACTGTTTAAAGGAATATATGATTATGTATTATTTTCATGACAAGATTCCAGAAAAAGAAATGTAAAGTATAGCAAAGATTTTTTCTTCTTTTCAAAGAGAAAAGTTAACTGGGGGTGAGAGGTGGACAGGGAGGAAAATGTGCAAAAATGAATGAATGGGAAATAAAATTAAATGGGAAGAATATGTTGTATATATATCACGTTCAAAAAAGAAGAGGGAGAAAAAAAGGTGGATTATAGTTTTCTAATCCCGGCGAATTATTCCCCAAAATAGGGCCTTTGTGGAAATAAAAGAGAAACAGAAAGACACACACATACAGAGAGAGAGAGAGAGAGAGAGAGAGAGAACTCTAAATTTCAAGTAGTATTAGGCAATAGGATTTGAATAGGTTCTCATATTAAATACCAGTGTGCCTGAACCACTCATATGCCAGGTAGTTATACTGAGGTGGTAACTTATTAGTTGCTATAACCCTGGGACTATACTACCAATATGTCAAATACCAGCAGGGTCACTGATGCTGGATAGGTTTCAGTAGAGTTTCCAGACTAATATAGACTAAGAAGCAAGACTGGCCATATGCTTCTGAATAACAAGCCTTCAATAACCTTACGGAAAATGGAAGAGCACTCTTGGACAGATTGTCAGAAGATGAACCCATCAGGTTTGAAGGCACTCAAAACACAACTGGAGAAGAGCTGCCTCCTCTAAACAGTCTACCATGATGACGCCAATGACATAAAGCTTTCACCCAGTGAAAGATCTTCATTGCCTGATGAGGCAAAACTCCAAATAAGGAGAAGCAGCTGCAAACATCCATTGATTATTGGAACATGGAAGGTGCAAAGTATGAATCTAGGAAAACTGGAAGCTGTAAAAAATGAACTAGAACTCATAAAGATCGCTATCATTAGTGAGCTGAGATGGACTGGTCATTTTGAACCAGTCATATGATCCACTGTGCCATTCAGAAAGAGCATTTCAAGATCCATTTTGAAGTACAATGGTAAGATGACTGACAGGACACAGTCCAAATGCATACAAGGACATTCTATTAATACGACTCATATATATCCTATGCACACCAACCATGAAAGCCACAGATGAAGGAACTGAGAACTTCAACCAACTGCTGCAGGCTGACATTGACTGAACATGCAATCAAGATGCATTAATAATAACTAAAAACAGGAATGAAAAGCTGGAAACAAGAACTAGTAGTTGGAGAATATGGTCTTGGTGAAAGAAATGAGCCTAAAGATTGTATTACTTTGTACAATGAATAATTTCTTTATTTCAAACACTTAAAAGCAAACGAACCACAAGCCAACACCAAACAGTAACTGT